GTCTGCGCGTGGCCCTGGGCGTGCGGTGTCCCCCCCGTGGCCGTGTCTGCGCGTGGCCCTGGGCGTGCGGTGTCCCGCCCGTGGCCGTGTCTGCGTGGCCCTGATGACTGATGTTAAGCACAGTTCGTCTGCACGTGACAGTCTACTTTCCTCTTGATTTGTAAGTTTCCCCTTTTATCTTAAGTTTCAGGATTGGATTACGTTGTGTCGAGTTGTGGGTTTTTTGTGTTTATCCTGCTTGGGATTCATTGGGAAACCCTGGTGGCCCAGTGGTTAAGAGCTACAGCTGCTAACCAAAATGTCAGCAGTTCGAATCCACCAGGCGCCTCTTGGAAACCCTGTGGGGCGGTTTTACTCTGTCCTGAATGGTCGCTGTGAGTCAGAATCGACTCGACGACGGTGGGTTTTTTGGTTTGGGATTCGTTGAGCTTCTAGAGTCTGTATGTTGATGTTTCTCGTTAACTTTGGAAAAAAGTTTAACCCTGATTTGTTCTGCTTCAGTCTCCCTCTCTTCTCGTTCTTGGGTCCCAGTTACACGCGTGTTGGGAGCATGTGACCCTGTCCCGTAGCCTGTTGGCGGTTACTTTTCCTTCAGCCTTTCCTCCCTTTTTAGTTGGGTAGTGTCTCTTGCCCGGTTGTAAGGTCGCTTGTTTTCCTGCAGTTTCCAAATGATTGTTGTCTTCCCAGTTAGGTTTTCACTTGACAGGTGGTATCTTTCGGTTCCAGAATTCCCGTCTGGTTCTTTGTTGAGATTTCTCACCTGCTCATCCGCTGCAGCCATCTCTTCCTCCAAATCCTTGAACATGTGTGGCGTAGCTGCGTTGGAGGCCGGCGCCTGGGGCACCTCTTGGAAACCGTGGTGGCGCAGTGGTTAAGAGCTCAGCTGCTAACCAAAAGGCCGGAAGTTGGAATTCACCAGCTGTTCCTTGGAAACCCTACGGGGCAGCTCTGCTCTGTCCTGGAGGGTTGCTGAGCTGGCACTGACCCGACGGCAGTGGGTTTGGGTTGTGGCGCGTCTTGGTTTCTGGTTCCTTGACGTTTTCAGTGTTTGGTGGTGCGTCGTTCTTAACTCTGGGGGTTTCTGTTGTCTTCGGCAGCTGAGCTGTGCTCGGAGCCTGTGTCAATCCCGTGAAGGACTCCTTTGTGGCTTTGTTGGGCCGGACCCGAGGTTGGTCATGGCTGGAGGTGGACAGCCCTCCAGCCAGGGTGTAAGGGGCCCTGGATGGTGGGCCTCAGCGTCCCCCACCTGGTGCAGCCCAGCCCCTCAGGAATTGTTCTCCATCAGTCTCGAAGATGCTGTGTGTGCGGCTGCAGCTGCAGGGACCACACACAGGTTTAGGGGCCCTTCTCTGTGCAGCTCCCATCCCATATTTGGCAAGTTCCAGGCACCCCAGCAGCCTGCGGAGTGAGCCCAAGAAGACGTGGGTCACAGGGCTGCTGTGTTCTGCTTTTACCAGTCAGAGACGTGGGAGCATGTTTGTGCACTGGTGGGCCAGTCCTGGGGGGTGGGGCTGGGAGCGGGGGTCCTCAGGGTGGGCTCCACAGGAGCAGAGGCTTGCTGGAGCCGGCTGCACAAAGGAGCAAGCTGGACGGTGTTGAAAACTTGGGGACATGAAGAGGGGGCAGTAGAGGCAAAGGTGGAGCGGAGGTCTCTGGGAGGCGAGGAGCACCTGTCGGTCGGGTCAGCCCCAGCAGGGGGTTGCTTCCATCCATGGGCGGCAGGGCTGGAGTCGCCCTGTTGGGGGGTGGGTCACGCGGGGTCTTGGGGAGCCTGGGCCTGGCCCTGCTGTCCTGACTGCCCCGCTCCCTCGCAGGGAAGAACCTCTATACAAACGAATACGTAGCCATCAAACTGGTGAGTCCCTCCCTCCACCCCAGCCCCTAGCCAAGCACACCCCTCCCATGGGGCCCTGAGGGTAGACTGTCCTGGGTCTGCCCGAGTCCCCCCTCCCGCGTCTCTGCCTGGAGCCGGGTCCCCGGTGCCACCCCGCCCTCACCCCCAGGAGCCGATCAAGTCGCGCGCCCCACAGCTGCACCTGGAGTACCGCTTCTACAAGCAGCTCAGCACGGCAGGTAGGCGGGCAGGCTGGCGGGGCGGGCGGGGCACGCCGTCTGGGCGCTGCACGCTGTCTGTGGTCTGTCTGTGTCCACAGAAGGCGTCCCCCAGGTCTACTACTTCGGGCCGTGCGGGAAGTACAACGCCATGGTGCTGGAGCTGCTGGGGCCCAGCCTGGAGGACCTGTTCGACCTCTGCGACCGCACCTTCACGCTCAAGACTGTGCTTATGATCGCCATCCAGCTGGTGCGGAGCTGCCCGCGGCGGGGGGGCGGGATAGTGGGGGGCCTGCAGGGGCAGAGCCGCCGGGCTGGGGCCAGCCGGGCAGACTGTGGCTGAGGTCCCTGCCCACCCACAGATCACGCGTATGGAGTACGTGCACACCAAGAGCCTCATCTACCGGGACGTGAAGCCGGAGAACTTCCTGGTGGGGCGGCCGGGCACCAAGCGGCAGCACACTATCCACATCATCGACTTCGGGCTGGCTAAGGAGTACATCGACCCCGAGACCAAGAAGCACATCCCGTACCGCGAGCACAAGAGCCTGACCGGCACTGCCCGCTACATGAGCATCAACACCCACCTGGGCAAGGGTGAGCCGGGGGAGGGGGCGGGCACCGACAGCACCCAGGCCAGGGTGAGCCGGGGGAGGGGGCGGGCACCGACAGCACCCAGGCCAGGCTGAGCCGGGGGAGGGGGACGGGCACGGAGAGCACCCAGGCCAGGGTGAGCCGGGGGAGGGGACGGGCATGGAGAGCACCCAGGCCAGGCTGAGCCGGGGGAGGGGGAGGGGGGCGGGCACCGACAGCACCCAGGCCAGGGTGAGCCGGGGGAGGGGACCGGGCACCGACAGCACCCAGGCCAGGGTGAGCCGGGGGAGGGG